AAATTCGTATGCATACAGGCTGGGTTTTCTCATTCTAAACAAATGACTGTCTTGAAGGGTAAAATTATGAGGGAAAAACCTCCTTCAGTTTTTATATCACATTTCAGAAAGACAAGTCCATTTTTCCCAGTAATCACATTGACAAAGCGTGAACGAATGATAGCACTTGGGGACCCTCTAGTCTCTGTGGTACAGTGGAGCTAGCCTTCATCACCGCTGATAAAGCACTCAGGATACTCAGACAGAATCACTGTGTACACGGAGAAATTACGCAGGGATGCTCCAAAAATCAAGTTATAATGAACCATAACAGGACAGTTTTTAATTTCTGTCAATTGACTGATGAAATATTTGACAATGAATTTGTCAAGTGATGGTTTTTCATAGTAGTGATTGACACAGATAGATAAAAATCCAGGAGACTAATAAGATCAAAAGTTTATGTCCATGGGTGGTTCTGAGAGACATTAAGAACACTCCAGAACAGACTCTTGAGATATGTTTAACCAGGCTTCCATCAGATTATCAATTTAACTTCAATCATTTCCCACAAGAAGCCACAAGGATTTTGTAAGAAATCAATTTCAAAATCAATTTCAGAATCATACCTAAGACAAATGCCGCTAGTATTGCTTATGGATTGCTCAAGATGTTTGATGCAATAGGAAGAACACTGATCTTTGAGTATGCAAGAGGCACTTTTGATTTGATTACTATAGATTAAATCTTTTAAAGAATCCCACTGCTAGTAACTTCTATTTGTCCACCAGTGTTGAGAAAACACTGAAGAAAATCCTGATTAATCATTTCACTGCTGAATTCAAGTGTAAGCATTACAAGGACATCAATGAAAGCAAACATTCCATCCATTGCCTCTGTACCACTTGTGAATGTACAAAGAGAGTCTCCTTATAGCATCTAGTCTTTCAGGGATTGCCTTCTACCTTGTATCACCAAGCCATTTAAAGAATAATGATACGGTAGGATCTCCAAAGATAGTTCTTTGATCCATCACATTGTCTGGCAGTCAGTACAATGAGATTCAGAAACTCCTGGAGAGTATATTCAATGGAAAATAATTACACAAAAGTAACAACCTTACTTGGTGAGACTATTTTTTACCAAATATCTAGGTGGCAATCTCATCTAGAGACACATACAAAAATAACCTAATCTGAATTGTGTGCTCTTGGATGTCATATGTTCCCCCTTAGTATTGAATTCATACTAAATAGAAAAAATGTGTTCACTCCTATATATAAAGATGAGAAAACATTGACGTAGGATGATGATGCACATGGCAATCTCGAGCACAGACATAACTGGCCAGAATGTATGGTGTTGTTCAGAGAGAAGAAACCTGATGTAAATACCACATGATTCTCAATAAGCTTATTGCAGAAACCACTATAGGCAAGGAGAAAAATATTTGAAGATTTGGGGTGTGTTTTCTGGAAAGCTGAGCAGTGTTAAGCTAGATAGGCAGAAAAACAAAATCTCTTTCAACAGGCCACCCAAATTCTTTCATCACAGTAAAGTTTTCAGGAAAAGATAAGAATCTCAATTTAAAAAATCAACAATAGGCAAATAAATTCAATGAAAGGATCAGCTGGCAATGGGAGAAATAAGACTGCCAATGAAGAAAAAAAAAATGCATGTCCCACAAAGAGGAAATCTCATCATCATGGGGCTATGCCAGAGTACAGAGCTGAAAGCCGGAGGGCAGCCATGGGGCTTCCAAGAATGAAGATCTTCCCCACAGAGTGGGTCCACCACCGAAGTGGTCAGAGATAGAAACCTGAAAGCATTTACACAGGTAGACAGAGTTAAAGGCTTTGATTTCATAGATGGATTTTTTAAATCCAAATTTTAAAACCTGTGCTTTCTTTTGCAACCTATGTGTGAAGAACTAATTTAGATATAAAACTTAACTTTTATAAATGAAGTTTAAAAATCATGGGGCTGGCGCCATGGAACAGTAGGTTAACCCTCCACCTGTGGCACCGGCATCCCCTATGGGCAGCGATTCCAATCCTGGCTGCTCCTCTTCCAATCCAGCTCTCTGCTGTGGCCTGAGAAAGCAGCAGAAGATGGCCCAAGTACTTAGGCCCGTGCACCCACATGGGAGACCAGGAAGAAGCACCTGGCTCCTGGCTCCTGGCTCCTGGCTGCTGGTTCCTGGCTCCTGGCTCCTGGCTCCTGGCTTCAGACTGGTGCAGCTCTGGCCATTGCAGCCATCTGGGGAGTGAACCAATGGACAGAAGACCTTTCTCTCTGTTTCTACCTCTCACTGTCTGTAACTCTACCTCAAATAAATAAAATCTTCAGAAAAAATCATCTGCTTCCAATCCCTCTTCCTGCTAATGCACCTAGGAAAGTAGCACATCATGGCCTAAACATTTGGGTTCCTACTACTCACATGGGAGACCTGAATGGAATTCGTGGCTCCTGGCTTCAGCCTGGCTGACATTCGGCTGTTGCAGATATTTGAGGAGCAAACCAGTGGATGGAAGATCTCTCTCTCTCTCTCTGCCTTTCAAATAAATAAACCAGCCTTTCAAAATATAAAAAAATCTTCCAAACATAAAAAAATGAAGTCATGTGTTGAGTTACTGTATAGTAAGATATCTGACTGTTCTGAATAATTTTTTTAAGATTTATTTTATTTATTTGAAAGAGTTACAGAGAGAGGTAGAGACAAAGAGAGAGGTCTTCCATCCGCTGGTTCACTCCCCAGATGGCCACAATGGCCGGAGCTGCGCCAATCCAAAGCCAGGAGCCAGGAGCCAGCAGCCAGCCCATTCTGAATAATTAAATTAGAAGTATAACAGCAAAAGAATACAACATTTATTTATATTTATCAATCCTATCGACATGTGAGAAATCCAATTTGTGTATTGAAAAATAAATCATATATTTAAAATCAACAACAATAAAATATTATCTGAAAAGTGGGAAAAGGTCAAATTACACTCAGAAATGATTTAATCCAGTATTCTGATTAAGTCAAAGCTTACTGAAAGTAACTTAAAATTCTGAGCAAATTTTTTTAAGAATGAAATTAGGGGCCGGCGCTGTGGCACAGTAGGTTAATCCTCTGCCTACGGTGCCGGCATCTCATATGGACGCCAGTTCTCGTCCCGGCTGTTCCTCTTCCAATCCAGCTCTCTTCTGTGCCCTGGGAAAGCAATAGAAAATGGCCCAAATCCTTGGGCTCCTGTACCCATGTGGGAGACCCAGAAGAAGCACCTGGCTCCTGGCTTTGGATCGGCACAGCTCCAGCCTCTATTGTGGCCATTTGGGGAGTGAACCAGTGGGTGGAAGACCTTTCTCTCTGTCTCTCCCTCTCACTGTCTATAACTCTACCTCTCAAATAAATAAAATCTTTTAAAAATGGCATTAATAACTACTACTAAAGTATTATTATTTGAACTTATATTCAAGTACAATTCAACATCAAATAAGTAAATTACAGTTCTGAGTAAAGATAGTGTTTTGTTCCTTCATACTTTAAAAATCTTGCAATTATATCTAAAATTCAGTGACTAATCACAGAGTTACATGACAAACCCACTTATTATCTACTGCTATGCTAGATACTGAATTAACACAAATATAATGCAGACATGAGTCTGTATTCTCAATTACCTCACAGTTTAGCAGAAGTGAGAGTCACATTCATATACGCAACAGTCTATAGCCACACATAAACTGCAATGACTCTAAAGTTAACCTATACAGAAAGTTCTCTAATCTAAAAGATCCCCATTACATTAATACTGCACCCACAGCACTCCTTTAAAAATAAAATATTTTACTAGCTCCCATACGCACAGTCACTTGATTCACACGACAAGTACTATTTGATGGAGGGTAAAGCATCAGTGTGAAGGATGGACCACAGGAGCAGACACTGGGTACAACGGTGAAGCCCTGACTCCAGACACCCACACCTTGTATCAGAGTGACTGGGTTCCAGTCCTATCTCTGCCCTCCATTCCAGCTTCCTGTTAAAGCATACCAAAGGAGGTCACATACCAAAGGAAGTGCTGACTTAACACTGGTGAATCTCTGCTACCTACAAAGTAGACCCAGCCTGAGTTCCTAGCTCCTGGCTTTGCCTGGCCCATCCAGGGCTGTTGCAGGCATTTCTGAGTGAATCAGCAGATGGGAGACCTTTCTCTGCCTTTCTCATTCTCTGTCTTTCTGTTTTCCAAATAAATATAATAAAGACATTTTAAAATATAATATACTGCAATATATGTGCAAGTTATTGCAGAGAAATCTTCTGATCAAGGAAAAAGTAACAAGAAAACATTTGGTTGTGGTGCGGCAGGTTAAAGCGCCACTTGTGATGCTGCTTTCCACATGAGCACCAGTTCAAGTCCCCAGGACTCTGCTTACGATCCTGCTCCCTGCTAATGCACCTGGAAAGGCAACATGTGATGGTCCATGTGCTGGGGATTCTGCCACTCATATAAGAGACCCAGATGGAGTTCTGGGCTCCTGGCTTCAGCCGGCCCCAACCCCGGACGTTGTAGCCATCTGAGTAGTGAACCAGCTGATGGAAGATCTTCTCTCTGTCTCTCCCTTTCTCTTTGAAACCCCTGCCTTTTAAATAAATAAAATAAGCCTTAAAAAAAAAGCCTTGTAGATGCATAGAGAAAATGCAGAAGTCCTTAGGGTAAAGAAATAAAAATAAAGAGGAAAGAAATTTTAATATAGACTTCAAAAGTTTTCCTAAGGACAACTTTTGTTTGCAAGGAATCTAATTTGCATCATAAATCAACTGAGTCTTAGTTTTCTTTTGCTTATTTTAAAATTATTGATAAAAATATTCCACAATATAAAATACGCTTCCAAAATTTGGAGCAAGTTCTACTGAAATTAATATCATTTCCCACACTTAAATGTTAAACTTTTTGTGAAAGGTTTAATATGTCTATGCAGACAGGACAATTAACAAGTATGACTCATCAAGTAAAAAACAATTTACTTACAATTATCTGATATTTTGGAAGAAAAATATTCCAAAAGACTTAAAACACTTGTTCCTCTTAATTCTGGCTCTTCTTCTGGTTTGTCCATGAGTAAAATACTTTTTCTAGAATTTTTACAGTCACAAAAACCAATCAGAGCCGTTTTTCGCAAATCAGAAGTGGATGCATACAAGCAGATTTCTGAAAGAATTGTTGTATATATGGTGACTATATTCCAAGCTGAGGAAAAATCACTTACATTGTTGCTTTCTTGCTGAAATGAGAAAATACATATTTGATAAAAGAAGTCAATTCTCTCATATTAAGAATTCTATAACAACATAAAAGAAATATCTTCAAATTATTTGGAGTTATTAAAAGATTATAATAAGCTAATATTTCCAAATGTATGCATTATTAAAAAGATCTTCCATAGGTGGATTGTATAAAATACAGTTCAAAAATTAAAAAAATAACTAATAAGTATGCAATGAAAGAATATAAATAGCCAATAAACATACAAAAAACTTTTCAATTTTTATCATAATCTAATGAAACATTGATTTTCATTATATCTTAAAAATATTTTTGATTTATAATTCAGTTCTAGTTTGTGACATTTTCATATATCATTCATAGGAATATAAGAAAGTTATACTTGCTGTAGAAAAATTTAGACATTTGTTTCAAGAATATTAAAGAAAGTAAGTAGTTATTCACTCAGTAATTTAGTGTTACTAATGTATTCTAGAGAAATAGTGAGAAATGCAGGTAAAGATTTATGTGTAAAAACACCAGTTCATCATTACTTGTAATTAACTGTAGCTCTTTATATAACAAAGTTAATGTTTAATAAGAAATGGTTAAATAAAGATCTCACTCCTACTAAAATATGTACATAATAACAATCAAAGATGTTTAGAATAAATTTAAATGTACATTTGCTTTAATATTTAATTAAAATTGTTATCATTATATGTCCTAGTATAATATACAATTTAAATAATGGGAAAAATAAAGTATGTGTCTACACAGGTCTCTTTTCACAGGTAAATTAGCAGTGCTGTTACCTGATTCTGAATGGAGAGAATGCTTGAAATAAAATCCCTTAGTAGGTCCATCAAGGTCCTCAAGCAGGCCAGGTTTAATTTGGCAGCCTCCCCAAGGACCAACAAAGCCAGTGCTGAATCCAACCTAGAAATTTTATTAACAAAGTGACAAAGACTTTACTGTAAAATAGTAATAATGACTTTTTAATGAACAAAGCAATAGACCAGAAAAAAGGAGTTCCTGAATTGTCAGATACACTTATTTCCAAACTGTTGGTATTAGTACAGGTTATAATAAAAGTGTACAAGAAAAAGTCACATTTTGGAAACATATTCAAGATCAGAGAAGTGCTTGGATGAAACTTTGCGAGTAATAGAAGCCATTTCTTCAGAGATCTGGGATGACAAGCAATCACGGGCTCTGATCCCAGAGTGCTCTCATATCTCACACCAAACAGGCTTTCGGCTTTTAATTTTGGCAACTCATTCAATGAATTGAATTTCAAGAGAGTGTTTCCTTTTCAAAACAGAGAAACATTTTTTAAAAATGGCTTTCCATTCCTAACTACTGTAAAAATTCAACATTGTTCCGACTGGCAAAAAGCACATTGTCTCAAATATTTATATTTCATATGAATGAAAGATTGTCAAATGTTATTTTTCAAAATATTATGTAATAACAAGGAAATCACAGAAAAATTTATTAGCCTTAAATGTATATATATATATATATTCTGAAGCTTTCAGAATACATTTGATAGATGCTATTTTTGTTCAACTAAAAGAGACATAGATTGAAAAAGAACTGATAAATAAGAACTCAAATGTAAAATTATCTGTTTAGTTTTATCAACTTGAGTTATAGACCATTAATAAATTAAAAAGTTGATACATTTTATACATATGTAATTTAATTTTCTTTTTTTTTAGATGGAAGAAACTCCTTTATTTCTAATAATGTTGAGTCAGTATGTGATGCAGGGCAGTTCATATACTGTATCTCAGTCTTTGTGTTGTTAGGCTTATTTTATTTTTTTTATTTAGTTACTTCAAAGGCAGAGTGACAGAGAAAGCAGAGAAGGAGGGAGGTGGTGCTGAAAGAGGAGAGAGATTGATTTTTCCATCCACCTGTTCACTCCCCAAATGGTCACAACAGTCAGGGTTGGGCGAGGCCAAAACAAGGAGCCAGGAACTTCATCCGGATCTCCAACATGAGTGGCAGGGGCTCAGAACCTGGGTCATCACCTGCTGCCTTCCCATGTGTATTGTGGGTGATCGCATGAGGCTGCCTGCCTAGCCCATGCAGTTATCCGGACTGCTGGTATGGCTGGCAGCAGGAGCCCCAGGCACATTTCTCCCCACCCCACCTTCTGCCAATCAGGTAAACTGCCCCTGGGTGTGGCCCAGGCCTACCTGGAAAGCTACCCTAGCTATGTGATCTTCGAGCTGATTGGAGAGGCATATTAGTGCCAGTGTCAGTTCTGTCCTGTAGTAGTGGTGTTGCCTTGATTTAGTTATGCCCCTTGTGTCTGCCCTTTAAAAGTGTGAGTGGCTGTGAATAGACAGACATGTTCGCCGAAACTTGTCTCTGGTGCTTCTTGTGGGAAGAACACTTTCGCCCTGCTCTCCCCAACAGTGTGGCTTTGCAGGACAAGCCCCAGTGCATTATCAGGGAGTAGAGCAGCTGGAACTTGAACTGGCACTCCAGTTCAGGATGCTGGCAACGGAAGTGGAGGCTTAGTCCATGTGCCATAGCAAATATAGTGGACTTACTTTTCAGAGACTATTGTGAGATTTAAATGAAATACTCTATGTAAACGGAACTAGGTTCAAAACAGTAAATGATCTGAAACACAAAAATACTACTTCAGACTTAAGAGACTGATAACTTTCTCCACAAAATCTCTGAGTGACTAGAAGAGATCCAGATGACCTCTAAATTGGACAATGAGTCATTCCTGGGAACTTGCTCACACTTCAAGATAGGGTCATGTAAAAGAGAGAGAATGGCCGTGGAGTCCATAAACTTTCTTTTCCTCTGAATATATTTCATAAGCACAAGGTTTTTGGCTCTTCTTCTCTCTTATAAGGCTGGAAAATTGTGTCTAACCTAGGGCATTCTCAGTGAACTATGGATTGAAAAAGATCCATCAGTGTCAGCCACCTATGGTAAAAAAGTGCTTCACCAGAAACACACTGTTCCAATCAATGCTGCTGACTGCAAAATTTTATGTAAGTGAAAATACTTTGCCAAAAATAGAAGAGAAACATCAATACTTATAAATTGGAGTTTGTTAAAAAAAATCAAAACTGAAAGCCAATGCACAAAGAAAGCAGCACTCAAATTGGATTAGGCTAGAGATTTTAATAAAGCACTATCTTCCTTGTGAACTCATCATCATAAAGTCAGTCTCAATTATCAGTACATCGACTTGGTTTTATAATGCCATGAAATTAACTATGTACAAAGTAATTTATAACTACAATAGATTTTTCACTATTTTTGTAGAAAAGAATCTGAGCCAGAGGTTTATTGGCTTGTAATCCATACTCTAACCCTGTTTCCTCAATAAGTTACTACTATTTTAAAAAATGGAATTAGAATGTCAAAGTTAGTAACCTTATATAACTTATTCCAATCTAGCAATAAATATTTCAGAGAATATTGACAATTTCAAAAAATCCACACACCTCTGAAAGTTAAGAATAAAAGGAGGATCAAAAAGAGTAACAAGGGACTGGCACTGTGGTGTAGTGGGTAAAGCCGCAATCTGCAGTGCCAGCATCCCATATGTGCCCCAGTTCAAGTCCTGGCTGCTCCACTTCTGATCCAGCTCTCTGCTATGGCCTGGGAAAGCAGCAGAAGATGGTCCAAGGAATTGGGCTCCTGCCCCTGTGTTGGAAGACCTGGAAGAAGCTCCTGGCTCCTGCCTTCGGATCTGCACAGCTCCAGCCATTGTGGCCAATTGGAAGTGAACCAGCAGATGGAAGACCTCGCTCGCTCTCTCTCTCTTTCTCTGCCTCTCCTTCTCTCCCTGTGTAACTCCAATTTTCAAATAAATAAATAAATCTTTAAAAAAAGAATAACAACTTAGTGGGAATTTCCACAGACTGTATAACTAGCTAAGAAGCAGGGTTAAGAAAAGCATTGAGGAGCTCCCACGTGCCACTTCACAAAACACAGCAGCCCTGTTTCTTCAAAGAAAGTTAAAAGAAAAACATTGAAGAAAATAATAATCTCTACTATTTACCCTGTTTTTTATGGAATCAGAAAAAGTGAGGCCAATCCTTTATCTTGGGATACTTAATATGTACCCAGAATATTAAGTCTATGTGGCATCCTCATGTCACCTCATGTATCCAGAGGAGACAGGGTTCAGATGATAAAGAGAGTAGGAAATAGTCCAGCAGGGATCTGGGATGTGAACAGCAGGAGGAGGAGGGAAACAATTATAATGCAGGTTTGTATCTGCTCCTTATAGGTGAACTATCACAGAGCAAGGAGAATAAAGGAAGCTCCCTGATGACAGTGCATGCCTGTATTTCCAAATATGAAGTTTGCATTGCTTTCTCCTAGCTCTGGGATAGGTAAAAAGGAAAGTGGAGGAGGGAGACCTATATGAGAAAAACAGAAAACATTCTAGCAAGAGCTAAAGAGAGTATTGGTCTAACCACTTGGAGAAGATCATAACTGAAAAGGAGTTCTTAAGGAGCCAGAAGATATCCTAACAAGACCCAACAGCTCAGGAGGAAGAGATACCACAAAGAAAAGCTTTGATGCTGAGATTAAAGAGTACAGTAAGAAAATGGAAGATTACAAAGAAATGATAATCATAAAAATATCATAAAAATCCATCACTGAAGATGTTAACTATAGAAGTGACACTTGGAAAGAGGAAAAACTTGAGAAATTGTTCCATAATTTACGGAGAAAGGTGGCAAACTAAGACAATTACTATATAATTCCTATTGAAACAATCGAAGAAGCAAAGTCAAGAAAAAAACTTGGTAGTATAAAGGAGGGAGGGATAGGGTGAATGGAGGAAAGGAGAGAAAGAAACTAGAAGAATTTAAAGTTATGGGGCTGGTACTGTGTTAAAGCTGCTGCCTGCAGTGCCAGCATCCCATAAGGATGCCTGTTTGAATCCTGGCTGCTCCTCTTCCGACCCATCTCTCTGCTGTGGCCTGGGAAAGCAGTAGAAGATGGCCCAAGTCCTTGAGCCCCTGAACCTGCATGGGAGACCAGGAAGTGCTCCTGGCTCCTGACTTCAGAATTGGTATAGCTCTGTCCATTGTAGCAATTTAGAGAGTGAGCCAGCATATGGAAGACCTCTCTCCCTCTCGCACTCCCCACCCACCTCAATATAACTCTGCCTTTCAAATAAATAAATCTTTTAAAAAATCAAAATTTAAAGTTATGAAGAAAATGGGAGGCAACTGAAGGAAAACCTCAGTACTAAGAAGTCAAAATTCATTGCAAGCATCCATGATACATAGTAGGGGACTTCAAAAAGTTTGTGGAAAATGGAAATAAAAGATAAGCTGATTTTAGTTAAAGAAAATTTGAAATCCATGCATATTTTTCCATAGCACACATTTCTATGACCTTTCTGGAAAAAAACTGTTTTGTACTAAAATAAACTTATATGGAGTTTTCCAAGTATCTTTATGTAAGAGTTTTCCCAGTATATTGTAAGAATAACTCAGCACAGCAAAGCAGGAGTGGGAAACACATATGTACTGTGCCTAGTCAGCGAAAGATCTTCAGAAGTTGTAGAGCAGTAGCCAAAGCATTTGTGCCGAGCTTCACATAGCGTGGACTAATCTCTGGGTAAACCAGAGGATTTTCCTCCATAGCCTCCCATGACCAACAGTGGGACAAGAGTGGGCCAGCTAACTCCTGGCCATAAAATCACAAAATGTGCTCCTAAAAAACTCTGGACTGAAAATTAATAGAAAAAAGAGGAAGATTGGTGATGAATATCTCAGCATAGCTACAAACTAAGAAACAATATAGAAACATTCAAAGATTTGAGGGAGAATTACAAAGAAACTACGATCATAGAAGTCTACAATTATGATTTTTAGGGGAAAAATAATAGGTGATAAATACAATACCCAGCCCAGGGTCATGGGTACCCGGGC